AATCTTGCTCTGTCACTCAGGCTGGAGTGCACTGGCACGATCTCGGCTCACTACACCCTCCGCCTCCTGGGTTCAAGTGATTCTCCTGCCTCAACCTCCCTGGTAGCTGGGATTACAGGCACGCGCCACCACGCCCAGCCTAAACTTCTTTGTAAACTGAGAAGTTGTAGAAAATGGTTCTTTTTTTTATTATTTCTAAGGACCTCAAGTGTTACTCAGAATTGGGTAAATCACACTCTTCCGTTCACATCAAACTCTTTTCAACAGTGCATACAAGACTCCACTTTGGTTTTACTGATACTTTTCCCTTTTCACTCCCCATTCCCTGTCTCATTCCCACTATAGTATATTTAATGTATGTCCTTCTAATCTGCCATATTGTTAGACATATGTATACTTTGAAAAAAAGTATTATTTTGTGTGAATTTAAATTCGATAATATGACATATATTCTGCTTATTTTTTTCACTCAATACCGTTTTGAGATATGCATGTTATTATTGTACGCTGTTGTTTCAGACTGTGGCAGGCTATTCTTTCATAAGCATATTTCACATTTTAAGTTCCCCTAGAGACAGAATATTTACATTGCTTCCAGCTGCTACTATAAATAATGCAGTGATTAATATCTCGTTAGCTGGCTCCATGGGAGCCTCTGTGAGACTTTCCCCAGGCAATGTTCTTGAAAACGTAGTTTTTTAGAAGTAGAGATTCTTAGGCCCTACCCTGATCTATGAATCACAAACTGTGGGATGGGGCCAGCATTCTGTGTGTTTTTGTGGTGCGTGGGAGTGTGTTTAATAGAGACAGGGTCTTGCTTTGTCACCCAGGCTGGAGTGCAGTGGTGTGATCTTAGCTCACTGTAACCTCAAACTCCTGGGCTCTGGAACTCCTCTCGCCTCAGACTCCTGAGTTCCTGGCACTCCAGGTGCCATACCTGATTTTTAAATTTTTTTGTAGAGTTGGAGTCTCACTATGTTGCCCAGGCTCGTCTCAAACTCCTGGCGTCAAGCAGTCCTCATGCCTTGGCCTCCCAAAGTGCTGAGATAATAGGCATGAGCCACCATACCCAGCCTGGTCTGTGTCTTAATAGATCTTCCAGGTGATTCTGATGCCCACTCAAGCTTGAAAACCACTGCTTTGTGCCTAATTTCTCTGAGTACCTCCAGATAGCTCCTGAATGGCTGTACTAGTCTTCACTCCCACAAGAGTGTGATTCCCTTTAGACATGTTTAATCTGGTTATTATCCATCTTCACATGTAGATGACTAGAAGAGGAGCTTCTCCAGGTTGA